AATAGGAATGTACATGATACTACTAAATTATACACTCCAAAATGGTTGAATTATATATTTTGTTCTGTACATTTTAGCACAATTAAAAAGAAAGTTTTAAAATCATATTCATATAAATTTCTATTCATATAAATTTCTATTCATATAAATTTCTACAAACTATAGTGCTTGATTCAATCAGAGGATAAAAGCAGGAGATGGAGTGCACAGGGGCTCAAGAGTAGCTTTGGAGTGATGGAAATGCTCTGTATGTTGACTATGGTGGTTTCACAGGTATGCACATCTGTCAAAAATAACCAAATTACACGTTTAACTGTCATTTAATTGTAGTTTAAGTGTAGCTCTAGATACAGCTGAAAAAGCAGACTCATTATGTACATATGGTAACCTTATGTGTGACAGAAGTTGTTCCAGAAAAAAATATGAAGGAAGAATATACTGTTTAATAGATGATATAGAAAAGTCTCACAAAACAGAAAGGAAAAAATAAAGCTGTACTCCTTTCTCATGCCAAACATAAAGATGAGTATCAAAGAAAGTAAAGCCCTCAAAGTGAACAATAAAATTAGAAAGATGACAGAATATTAAATATTTTTGCACTGCTATAGGGTGAGAAAGATCTTATTAAGATTAAAAATTGCTTAAAGTTACCACTGACAAAGTTAATAAGCAGGTGACAGGATGAGGTTAGTATCTAGAATATGCAAGAAACACCTTCAAATTAACACATTAGAAAAAAGTATGGCTGGTCAAGGAAATTGCAATAGCTAACAAATATACTAAAATATATTAAATAAATATCCAATTCACTAAGAAAGACAGAAATTCACAATAAAACAACCAGATTCCACTATATAGCCACAAAATGTTAGTAAAATTAGAAAGATGGCTAATGTCAGACACAGCAAGAATGTGGGGAATCAAGTAATCTCATGCACTGTTGCGTGCAGATAAACCAGCTCAGCACCTACAGAGGGTCCTTCAGCAGTATCTGGTAAAAGTGTGTATATCGCAGTACTCCATTACCCAGCCATCCTACTCCTAGGTATAGTGTATACTCTTACCGTAGTATATAAGTGGTTCTCACACTTTCCCCTGCATCAGGATTTCCAAGATGGCGAGGTTAAAACACAGATTAGTGGGACCTACCCCTAAGGTTTCTGACACAGCTCTAGAATTTGCATTTCTAACAAATTCCCCAGGTGATACTGATGCGCTGGGTATGGACCACACTTGGAGAACTACCACCCTCGAAATACTCTCACATACATCATTAAGAAAATAGAAGCAGGATGCTCATTACAGCACCTGTGGAAATAAGCATCCATCACTTGGAAAATAGGTAAGAACATGTAGTAGACACACATCTGACCACCCCTACAAAGCAGCAGCCATGGCCATGCAATTGGATAAACTGTAACAGTATGGATCTCACAAATAAAATGTTGAGAAAAGGTCTTTCAATTTTCATGAATTTCTCAAAATGTCAAATGAAGAAGAATGAAATCAATTCCACTTATGCAAATCAAAAACACAAAATTGCTCAAGAACTTTAAAGAATACATACATACCTAAGGGCATTTGTAACACAGAAGAGAGGTCTCATCTGACAGAAGAGGGAACCGATCTGGTGCTGAGAACAAGACAGGCTAAATTGATTCTCAGCACCAGAAGTCTAAAAGGTAAAAACTACCAAGTTCTCTAAATCCTCCCTCACCTGCATTCACAAGCAATAGCTGTGTTAGCTCAAGCCTCCAGTAACTACATCATTAGAAGACAGATCAATTGGCACTGAAAATGGAGGGGACTCTCTCTGAAATACAGACCTTGGGTGATTTCAATCCCCTGGAATCCAACCTGTAACTGTGACCTAATTTCCCTCTTTGACATTAACTGCAAAAGAAGTTGAGATACTTGGTTTTTGACAAAGGGTGTGTGTCTTTTGAGGTCTGTTCCACACCTCCATCCCATGTATGACTCTGTGTCTGTGGATCTGTGTGTATCTCTCAGTATTTGTTGCTATGTATGTGACATGTGGTATGCCTGTATGTGGAGATACAGATTTGGGACAGGGAAAATGAGACTGGTTCATCAGCCATTTAATTCAGTTTTACTGAAACCAGAAGTGACCAGTCAATTACAAAACCAAGACACCTCCTAGCTCCCCACCCACTACTGCCTTCTCTTCACTTTTTTCACTCTCTGCTCCACCTCCCATGTCCAACTGGACTGATCCAAAGTACGGTCTTTCTGTGATTAGTAGCTTAATTAAGGTAACAAACTTGGGCTGGGGATTTAGCTCAGCGGCACAGCACCTGCCTAGCAAGCAAGAGGTCGTGAGTTCGATTCCCGATACCAGAAAAACAAACAAACAAACAAAAACCCAAACTTTACAGCAGACTTCTTGAATACAGTAAGAGACAAGAAATAAGCATTTCTATTCCTGCCCAAAAGCCTTTAACAGAAAAACCAAAATCTTTAAGATCAGGCATTCAATGAAAGTTCCTCCAAAAGAGACTGTTTTGACTACAGCTACCATCTAAAAAAGCAAAAGGAAAACCATTCATAATCTGCCATGCCCACATAGAGGCACACTGGCCACTGCATTTTCAAAGGGCTACTGACCAGGAAGCCATATAAAAAGATAGGAAGTGTATTGGATAGTAAGAAATTAAAACTACCACTGACTAAATTTATGTAAGAAAATGCACACATCTTTCTGGCTAAAACTTTAATTTAAATAAACAAGCCCATGCCAGGAAAGTATGTCTTCAGGAGAAAAAGAAATAGCTAAACCACTAGAGGAAGTAACAGAATACCAAAGTAAAGGGCAGGAGAGTAAGCCCATATCTCCTCCCAGAAACGGGGGAGAGGGAACAATCATAATTATCCTTTTGTGCAAACAACCCAGAAGCTTTATTCACAAAACAGTTTCATTCTTTTCTACAGCAGCACTTTTCATGGAATGGTAAATGTTAGGAATTTGACAGTTTTTTGAAGTGCTTTGTAGCACATGAAGTTTTAAAAATTAAAGCATATTTGGCCAAGCGTGGTGGCACACCTTGTAATCCCAACAGTTGGAGGCTGAGGCTGGAAGACCACCTCAAATTCAAAGTCAGCCTGGGCGACCTAGTGAATTCAAAGCCAGCCTAAGCCACAAAGCAAGACCCTGTGTCAAAAAAATAAAGAAATGAAAAATGAAAGCATATATAATATGCCCCAGCAGCACTTTTTAGTTTACAAAAACTGACCAAGTCCTATCATAACAGTCCTTAAGGTTTTTGAGACAGCAAAGCACACTCATTTTTGACTCACACAGAAACTGCTGCAATATAAATATAAAGTCCTCTAACAAAACTTACAAATTAAGGAAAATAAAAGAACTGTATTTTGAAGGTAAAGTTGAATGTCTATCGTCAACACAGGCAACTATGATTATAAAAGCACACAAAGTTCCTTCAAGTGGCAAAGCACATAAATGATGCTGCATACTCTTTATGCTAAAAATGTTGACAGTGGAACTCCATTTACAGATGAAAAACAGGATGCTCACTCATACCTTCTTCCACTTTGAAGAACTTTGAAAATTTCAGCTGAGTAAACGTATATTGAGCACCACAAGGCAGGTACTGTACAAAATGCCAAGGATATGCCAATAAATAAAACAATGTTTTAATAAAGGTATCCCTTTAATGCCAATTTAATCCATACCATGAATTAATTTTTTAACGCTCCCAGACATTTTAAATAGCTATCAGCAATACAGAGTTACACAAACATATTTTACTAAAAATACAGATGTGTAGTCTCTGAAGCAGAAATAGAAGACAAGGGCTATCTGCAGAATAACTACTTAAACTATATGGTAGCAGCTGAGACTTCCTGCTACCCAGCATGTCTGAGCGATGCAGAGACAAGCGAACTGGAAGGACCAGGGCCTGCACACCTAAGTATGCAGCAAGATAAGGAAAATGAACTCCTAGAGGCAGAAGGAAGCTCCTGGAGGTTCCCCTAAAGCTAGCACCTACAACAGCAGGCGCAGGCTCTGCTGCCTGCCTGTTTGGCCAAGGCATGGCTTCGGAGCTGGAAGGATGCCACCTGCTGAATCACCAAACATCCCTGGGCTTCCCTTGAAGCATTGACCAGACAGCCACCCATCCCCCGCCGGCTTCTCTCGTGGACATGTTACACCCAGACGATGAAACGCCCAGCCCTCTGCCCCACACAAGCCACAGCCGCCAACCCGCCAACCCTAGTACTTCTGGGCTGCCCCAGGCAACTCCCTTCTCGGTCCTACGTCACCACTCCCACTCCTCTCTTTCTGCCCACTCAGTCCCTCCTGAATGTTCAGCCCCCACTCCCCATAAGGTGTGGGAAGAGTACAGCACATCAGGACTGGCACTCATCGCTATCACACCAGGCAGCCAAAGCGAAACACTCCCAAGCAGAGAGCAAAATAACCTGTCCAAACAGCCTTAAAGGCCCAGGCAGGTAAATGTCAGGAGAGCTAAAATAGTAGGCAGGCCCAGTAACACAGAAAATAAACTTCCTTTTCAGAAAGGAGCCTCCCCTCTTGGTTTCATAAGCGTGTGCCGTTTAAGTCTGTACTGTCTGAAGGTGAAAAGAAACATGTGAGAAGCACCTGCCTGGATACCTTCGTTCCCTCTGCCTATGGCAAGCAACCCTCACCTCAGTCTTTACTCAGGAGCGTACAAGCGTTAACCAAAGTCCAATCCGTCAGCTGAGCCCAGGCACCCTACCCAACCCACCAGTCGAAGCTTCAGGCCAGAGCTGGATTAACGCGGTGGGAGAGGCTGCCGATGTCGCTGCTTTGCCCTTGACAAGTCTCTCGGTACCGCGCAGACCCCTCGTTCCGCGGGAAGCCAGCGTCCTGTCGGGACCTCCAGTCCCCGGCTGCCCCGCCGGCCCCTCCACGCTTCCCCTCTCCACTGCCGCCAGCCCTGCGGGGAAGGCGCTCCTTCCAAGGAAGGGGGTCCCACCTGCTCCGTCGTCGAGGGCCATCGAGGGTCCCTGGTGGGAGAATCCCCGAAACCGTGGCCGCCTGGCCGGCTGCGACGCGGCCGGGGTACCAACTGTCACGCCGCCGCCCGGGCGGTGGGGGGAGGGCTGGATCCGCGGGTCGGCCCCTGCGCGACTGCGGACGCAGGGCGGGCACAGCCCAAGGCCCCCACCACAGTCGCTCGCCCCGACAGAGCACCCGGCAGCCTCCGGGCTGCACGCAGCACCACGGAAAAGGTGGCCACGGCCGCCTCCGCCTTCCTCCCCGCCCCAACTTGGCGGGGGCCCCGCGGGCGGCCCGCCCCTTCGGCCTTACCCTCCGCGAGAGAAGAGGCCGCGCCCCGAAGCGCCCGCCAGGTACACGGGCGACAGGGCGCCGGCTGCGCTCACGCCCCCTC